AAGCTCAGTCCAACTCAACCATAGGTGCAAATAATCCCCGCCGGCCAACAAAGCCCAGCCTCCTGGCCCCTCTGGAAAGCTGGCTCCGAACAAGCATTTAGGAAGCTGGCAGTTCTCCTTGTGTCACACTCCTGGCCCAGGTCTTTTTTCCATCCTGCCCTTTTTATTCTCCCGTTGCCCTTGCAATGACCTGACGTGCTCCCTTTGTGCTTGGGTGCTGAGCCAGTGGGACCTGCTCACTTGGCGCCGCTAATTAAGTTCAACAACAACATTTTCCTTTTTTTTTTTTTCAGTGGTTCTGTCCCAACACATTTAGTTGGGATTTTAAATTCTTTAGATTTCATTCAGCCCATGTGCACCATGGTGTCACAAGGCTCTCGTCCCAGCTCAGTTAGTCCCAGCCCTGGAAGGGCTCCAGCATCCTTGACACAGCGCATATAAGCTCTGCGGCAGGGGGGCAGGAGGGGATGGTCCGAACAAAACACTCACCCAAATAAGGGGTTACCATGGCTCCCTGTTTCTTTTAACGCACAACTGCCCCGGTCAGGATTACTGCTGATGTCAGCCTAAACACGAGCCCTGACTGCTACAAACATCACCTCCTGCAGCATAGATAGCTGGTTATCATAAACACGCTAAAAAAGCATCATCTTGGAAGAAACTGGGGTCTAGCTACCCTTACTGCCAGTTCGTTCTGCAGCTGAAGGCAAAATACTGATTTAACTCTTCCAGGTCCAGGGGAAAAGCCTGGACAATGAACCAAGGGAGACCTCCATGTGATTTTTTGCCCACTACAGTGCTATCCAAACCATATGGGGCATTTCTGCTCCACGAAGTGTTCCTGAGCTGTCGTTCCGTACCGTACGCCTCACTTAAATAGGTGCTAATGCTAAAACAGGTCAATCATTGCCTTTTAATTCTTCCCTCTTTGCTCCTCTTACCTGCTTCCTACAGGAAAGGCAAGCAATGCCACGCGCTGCTGGCCACTTGTGGAGTACGGGTACTGGCCTCCGCGGCTCTTTGCTCTTGCCCAGTGTGATCAGAGCAGAGCTCCTGACCAACGGACACCATCCGAGAGGAAAAAAAGTTGCACCGCTGCCCTCCAATCCAGAGGATGAAGGGTCCCTGGACTCCTTCAAGGAGCCAGATCCCTACAGATAGAAAGGGAATAATAACAAGAACGAGGACAAGAAGGCCCTTCAGAAAGCCCTATTCTGAATTCCCGGGATGTTGGATGGACAGGGAGGGAAGAGACATGTTTGTAAGTGTTTTTGAGATGAGCTGCGAGTTAAATTGGGTGGTTGACAAGAGCGAGGAGCACTAACCGCTCTCCTTGCTGGGTGGGACGGCGTTTGTCCAGATGCCTAAGGAGGACTATGAGAGTTATGAAGGCTGCAAAGCCCTGCTACAAATGCTGAAACCAACACCAGCCAGGCACGGCTAACACGGCGAGGGTTCAGTGGGAAGGGGACTCTGCACGGCCCCAGTCACAACCCAAATAAGGGACACTGCTTCGAAAAGCACCTTCCGAGTGGGTTTCTCAGCGGACCTTATCACAATACAGGAAAGGGCACCTTACTAAATACCAAGCAGATCACTAGGGAAGAGGCAGAGCAGCCAAATCCTAAAGGAAAAATAGGCAATATTCCCAGGGATGGAGCAAAACTACCCAAATCGCCCTTCAAGCCACGTGCCACCAAGACAGCGAGGTGCAACAGGGCCCTGCAGATGAAGCAATGTTATGTGCAGATGAGGAAGGTATAAGATGCTCCATCCTGAGCTTACATCCTACGTCCTTTGATCAAAAGTCTTGTACCTTGTGGAATAAAACGGCCGAGCCTTCAAAGGGAAAGCAGTTGGCAAACGAGTGAATGAAGAGACAGTTTCACAGGGATCTAACCAGCCGATGGAGGACAAAGAGGTGCAGACAAACATTTCTGACACCAACTCTGAGACTCTGTCAGCTGTCTCAGTCAATATGAACATGAGAGAAAGACTCCTGGAGATTGATCCTTTTCCTTTATTCCCAAGAAATTATGTTAATGCCATGGGACTTCAGGACAGAGACTTAAGCCAAGTGACTGAAGGATGAACTCACCGGCTTCTTCCAGACTCAGGGAGCAACTCAGTGGTGATGACGGCTCTGGATAGAAACCCTGCCAGGGAGTATTGTGTACCAGAACTATGCTGGGAGATGGGAAGCTTCTTAAAGGAGCACTAGGAGATGAGCCACAGCCCGTGTCCCCTCTCTGCATGGGGCACAGGAACGTGCCCAGGGCTCCTCGGGGGTAGCTCCTTGAAAAGAGAGTCTGTGGTAAGAGAACTGTGGCAGCTGGAGAAGTTGTACATGCAGTTTGTGAACGTCAGTAGGACTTTGATGTTACGGCTTGTTAGATTCTCTGGGCTATTACACACTGCCTCCCACGGTCTACACTCCCGCAAAACCAAGCGGAAGATTCAGGAAAGGGAAGTCTAGAAGGGCCACAGCAATCAAAACAAAGACATTCTTCACGCACCTCTGTCCACAATGTGAGAAGAGATGAAATTCATCTAGAGCCAAAAATAGTCTAGACCTCTCATTTGTTGATGGTTTCCAATCTTGCAGCTAAGACAGGCTGCAAACTCTGACCTGTTTGCCTTTACAATGGTTGGCACGTCAGGGGGGGAATCTCAGTGCCTCAAAGCTTGCCAAAGCTACACCTGAAGTAAATTACTGCCCAATTATTTAGTAGCAATTAAAAAAGATTTTATAATTGAGAAGAAAATAAACAATAGGCTGAGCAGCCCAACCCCTGGAGAGCATGAGGGAACATCAGCGTCACCAGCTTTGCGAAACACAGCCCTGACGGGCTGCCTGCAGACCAGCCAAGCTGGCAAACCTTCTCCAAGTACCTAAACCCTAAAAACTGCTGTTTTGGGAGATCTCATCCTCTTACCTGACATCATTACCTCCGTGGGCAAAGGATCCAAAGCAGGCTGTTAAGATCTGGAGGAAGTGGAAAAGCAGATGGACCTGAGACGTGTCTTTCTCTTCCTTATCCTCTTCCACGGGATCAACGGGGGGCCTGTTGGGATCTGCGAGTTCAGAGGCCAACTTCATTTCTACCCCACCTTCCTCTGCCTCGATCTCTGCCTCGGCCACTGCGTTGCAATAGCTGGAGTAGCTGTCGTAGCGAACTCGCTTCTTGGAGTAGGAAACCGTGTCTCCCACTAACTTCTCGCTGTCCTCTGGAGTTGACGTGTCTGCTGCCTTAAAGGAGGAATGCACGGGCATGCCACAGATAGCAGCTGTGTAACACGTGTAGCTGTTGTTGCGCCGTAGGAGTTTGTAGTTGTTTTCCTGCGCGGGCCTTTCATCGGTGGCCCTGTCCAGGTGTATTTTGTGGAGCAAGTCTTTGTATAAACCTGAGTCCTTGTGCACAGTGTGATAAACGTGGCCGTCGCTCCTCACCTGGCCATCAAAGCTGAAAGTGCCGTTGGAAACAGGGGATTTCACCGAGGTGTGCGTCATCGAAAATGCCCTTCCTAAAAAGGCAGATATTTAGGGAGGTTTATTTCTAGGAAACGTAACACAGAAGCCCCCCTCCCTCCCACTTTGCAAGAAGATAAACGGGCAGTGCCCTGAGTACAGGACAAAGAAGCTCAACGGTTTGCAAAATATCACAAGATTCAATTCACCACAAATAAACTCATCCCCTGTGCAAACAGAGCTTTGTTCCAGCGTCGGGTCTCCCCCGGACACGCTGTATGACCAGCAGCAAGTCACCTGGCATTCAAAGTGATAGTTGAGGGTTAAAGCCTCAGGTACTTTGGAAAAGTAATTTCTATAAAATTCCATTCTACTTTTTTCCCAAGGTTTTCTCTGTTTTTTTGATGAATAGGCATAATAAGGATTTCAGGAAAGGTGGTTTCCTGTGATTTCATACTGAACACAAGCTCACCTTCCAAAAGTACCTATGTTTAAGGGACATTCACACAACTTTTTGAAACAACTAAGAAGACAGAAAGCAAAAAAGTTCACCTTCCACAGAAATATTTCCTCAGCTATTCCGACATTCTGTGTACCTTACTTCCATGAACATGGTGATAGCTATTCCCACTGTGTACTTTAGTGTTACCGTATGCTGTAGGATCCATGTCACAGCTAAGGCAATATTTCTGAAGAAAATGGCTTTTTCATTCCCTGGATTTCCACTGTGCAACGTTCAGAATTGGGTTTAGCCATTGTTAAACTGGAAGCACACGCTCACAGGGCTTCACATCATGACTTACTTGATTTTGTAAGAATCAGTTGAATATATTAGGCATTTATTAACTAAAGTACGGGGCTGTGTAGATGTCAGCAAAGTGATGTTGAAGTCAGCAGCCCACTGAGTGGGGGGCTGCAATCCCACCTCACGGGGGAACAAAAGAGGCTTTATGCGCAGAAGCCTACTTCTTATAAATATACATTCAGAAAACAGTGCATGAGGTTCTCGCTAGTGGACACGCTCCAAACGGTCATATGTTTGACAACTAAAGCCCCAATCTTTTCATCTCCTGTGGTAGTATGCTAATCATCTTTATGCCGAATTTAACCTTCATACATCAGCAATTTGTGTTCTCCGTATTTTTCCACTGCTTAAAAGGATGGAAACACCATTAAGGATAGAAAGGAAAGCAAAAAAGGAAAGTAATCTTTGTTTTCAGCTGTTTCTAAAGTTGAAATACAGCCAAACAAAGGGCAATTGGTTTTAAGTCCTCTCTAGAAAACACCACTTGTAAATGAGCATCTTTTCCAACAACTGCTGAAGAGGGATTAGAGCTGGAAATCCCAAACACTTACCATTTGCAACAGAAACCTACTTGCAAGTAAGAAACCCTGTCGAAACAGGGAGAAAAACCCCCCGTGTCACCTTAGTTTCTTACCATACGGTATATGTGGATGGTTTCCGTTCGCAATAGCATCTGATGCCCCAGCAGCTTCTGTTGCTGAGCCAGTAAGGGGAATTGTGCTCTCGTCAGATGCTTTGGCACCGGGAAGCTCTTTAAAGACTGGTGTTTCTTCATCTTGGATTTTATCAAGGCTTTCATCTGATATCCTTGACAGTGCAGCATCTTTCTTTAACCGGCCTAAGGAAATAACAGTACTGTAATTTTAAACCCAAGCTCTCCATCTCGCTGCTTATGTTTCCACTGTTTTCATCAACGGCACAGATAAACATGGATACGATAACCAGGATAGTTTCATACGCATTCCTTATTTATTTCTAACACTTCTCTTTACTAAATTCAGCTGAGCAAACCCTAGAGCGTCTTTGTTTCTTCCCACAAAACTTGCTGAAGTAGGTAACTGAATTCCAGCACCGAGCTGCTCATTGAGTAACGACATCTGGGACTCTTCCCTGTGTTTCCAGCACTGCATTTGTCGAGTAGCAAAGCAAACGGGCCAAACACCGTGCTGCTAAAAGCTGCCGTCAGCCCAGCTTCCTGTTGAGTTAAAGAAGTCACTTCAAGATAATAATTCTGCCAGTTTTTTCCTCTTCAACGTTTCCTTAATAAAATACAAACCAGATTATATGCCAGGGTTTATTTTCCCGTTTCTGCTAGACTCAAGAAGTGGTGAGCACTGCGATGGATTGCCTAACAATGTTTTGAATTTCTACCACTGCAGGTTTTTAAGAGCAGGTTACGCAAATAGACGAGGAATAGTTTAAGCACATCCAGCCTGTGGGTGGGGACTGAACTAGGTGACCTCTCAAGGGCACTTCCAGCTCCGACATGGATTTTTCCATGATTTTACATCACTCGCGTTTCATCAAGCAACTACTTACTTTCTATTTTTCTCTTCATCCAGGGGCACACAAAAATCCAGACTAAGACAGCAAATACTACGGATACGCCGATGGATATTAGAGCAATGGCCCACATTGGCAGTACCAGTCCCAGTACTGTGAAGACAAAGAAATAAAACCCAGGCAAAGCATGAATTAACATGACTTAATTACCTCAGGCAGCGAAGAACAGCCTGTTGCAGAAACGCCTGCGTTCAAAACCAACGCGAATGAGCATTTTTAACACACATCTCGGTCAGTGGAGTATTTAAAGGTCTAGTTGACATGCAAACTTTTGTAGGTTTGGTCTTCCAGTTCCCTGCTACCCCAGCATGACCTTATTTCCAAAGAATTCAGGGGCAGAGCTCCCACATCAGGGCTGCTGAAACAAGTCTGCAGTGATTTTATGCACTAACATACACTAAACCGTGTTGCCCGTGAGGGTATTTACCTGACCTTTGCTCTGGTCAATAAAGCCTGATGCTTAGCTTAATCTATGTCATTATCTGCTTATAATAGCTTAAAGCAGCACTTGAGGGCTGAGGTTTCAGTCCTGCAACGCGCAGTCACGTCAATAACTCGTGTTCCTGTGAGTATGTCCCCAACAGAGTTCCTTGCCAATTACATGATCAGACCCTTCATGAAGAAAGGGCTTGGACTCTGGTCTTTCCAACCCGTACACGCATGCCTTTCTTGAAACCTATGTGATTAATTCGTCCTTGTGAGTAAATGTTGCCAGGGCAGAGGACTCAGAGAGTAAATATTTCCTGAGTATCAAAAATAGAGTCCCACCTTTTTATTCATGCACTTTAGAGACTCCTAAGCTGAAACAGAAGGGACATTAAGATTCTTATTTCATTTATTTTGCTTAATGAGTCACTGCAGAGTGCCTGACCTACTTCTGCAGTACAACTAATGAGGAAATGTTGGTTATACAGCTGATTTACTGTGAAATGTCTTGGATACATAGCCAGCTAGACTTAAGAAAACAGAATAGTGGAGTTATGTTGCCCTCAAAGCAGGAACTTCTCAAGCTTTTTATTAATTTCAGTAACACTACGCTACGAAGTAGAGTCTACCAACTGCATTTACCTAGCACATCAGGTTTTAGAGAAAACAAATTTCTATTTAAAACGGTCACTTTCTAAGCCTGCTTTCTTATTTCAGGGACATGTTCTCTCTCCAACTGCCTGTTCATTCATGGCTCTGGGGCGATAATCTAAGCTAAAGAGAACATTTAATGACCAGAGTCTTCAATAAAGTAGTTTAGAGCAATTGAATGTCTTTTTTCTGAACTCATGTGCTGCAAGTGCATGTTTAAATGCACACTGCTTAAGTTAAATATAAACATATAAATGCAAATATATAAACATACTTATTATGAAGACATAAATATAAAAATATTAAAAGTTCAAAGATAAACACCAACGTAAGCAAACACAAACATATAAAGGCACATAAAATATACAAAAATAGAAATAAAGTCCCGAGAATGACATGTATCATTTCCTTCTGCTGAGTTTCAATGAAAACACAGCACCCAAGAAAGAAGATGCATTAGATGCAGAAACAGGCTTGGAGCTTCTCATCACTGAAGGGAAGTAAATTTAATTAACAGGCTCCGTGCCAGATCTGCCAGAAGAGTGGCTCTGCTGATTTCAATGGAGCTGTAGTGTTGGAGTGAGTGCAAACAGCCTACCTGCTCTTCCCATCCTCTCTGAACCTTCCCTCCTGGATGCCCCTACTTGGAATACTTTTGAGAGCTCAACACACGCTCAGATTGACGAAGCCAAAGCTGGCAGCTCAATATTACAGATTTTCCTGTAGCTGGGCTCTCCCCCACTACCCAGAGTGATCGGGGAGGGGGTCAAAAAAACACACACAAACAGAAGCACGTGGCGAGGTGTATGATTTACTCTTGCCCTCGTTAACTCCTAACGTCGGAGATAACCGTGCAGTATCGGAAGCCTCCCTCCGTGCCTCCCGCTGCGGACGGCTCACTCACCTGGTGCCCCCGTGTACATGATGGAAAACACGTTAATAGCTATGGTAGCAGCATAAAACACTGGAAGTGCGCGAAGACCGTTGGGCACAGGGTCTTCCTGCATAGAAATTGGGGGGGGAAAAAAAAAAAAAGAAACATTAGCTGGGTTTTCCACCTGATTAATGTCAGCGTGAACCGCCACGAGGAAAACTCGTGTTCCCGAGTCAGCGCCAGGCACGTGGAGGTTTTGGGTGGAAGGTGAGGAAAGGATGGTGACCTGCCGGGTTACAAACGAATCCCCAACCTGTCCTGGCAAGCACCAGCTTTTTCTGTGGAAGTCTTGACACTGTTAATGGGAAGCAGGGTGACAGGTTGTACTCCCAGGTTGGCTGCTGGGTGACCCAGGGGCAGGATTCTTTCTGGGGGTGTTTTCTTACCTCTCCTGTCTCCAAAAAGAGGAGTCCCTTTCACTCAGCACGACTGAAGGGTGCCAGGGAGAACTTTGATATTTCTGAGAGAGGGCTACAAGCATCAGTGCAACTCCTCTATCGCAAAACCTTATTCCTAACCTCTCCGTTTCGACTGAGACAGCCTGGGGCTTTCCACCAGCTCACAGAAATCCCTGACATGTTGTCTGGCTGCATTAAACACGTAACACACACACACAGCGGGCGCAGAGCATTTAGCACCCCGTCTCCTGCCCTCGGCGCTCACGAGGGAAGGCTCAGCTGACGGCGCAGCGGAAACGCGCTGTGCGAGCCATAGAAAAAGCCTTTGTGAGGAGACTGCCTTGGCCTTTTGAGGGGCTCTGTGTGTTTGCAAAGAGCCTGGCTAATGTGCTTTTGTTTCTTGCTGCCACGAGCTATAAAAGGGAGCTGAGAGAAGGCTGTGGCCACCCTGCGCTATGCCCCGGTGCCGAAGCGTGGTGCAGCGCGGGCTGGATCTGAAGGGCCAGCTGCTACGCACCTACACCCCCAACAACGGCACAAACCCTTACACCAGGGCACGGACTCGCAAGCTAAAAAGCTGCTCTTCTTTACGCACACACAATATGCAAGTTGCTACCTGCTCATGGCTGAAGCTCTACAGATCTCACTGCTTTGTGCGTGGCACAGATGGCAGTCAGAAGACAATTTCCTTAGTTTGAACTTTTTCTGCCTCTTGAATGCCTAAACAGGTGGCTTTTATACCAGGGTTCATGAGATTTTGATGATTAACTTCTTAAGTTGTTAGGTTTCAAATGCAATAGAGGAATTTTCCCTCATCCTTTATGCAACTTGAGTAATTTTAAATTCAAAGCTGAGTCCGATCAAATTTATCATCTGCTTTTATTGCTGACATTTATTTACCACAGAAATAAAGAATGATGGAGCTGAGGTTACAGGTGGTGTTATTTATAGCAAAAGAATTAATCACTCATCTATTTAAGTCCCCTGTATAACTGCTAATATAGTGTTCCCTTATTTTAGGTCATTGTCATGTGCTGCACTCCCCCATTTTAGCAAGTTGGATGGTGTGAGATAACTGGAAAGAGTAGATAAAAGTGTTCTGGTTCCCAGTTCATGCTGGCTGGCAGACAAATTGCCTTCTGTGATGGGGATATGTGGACTGATGTTACCCCAAAGCTGCCACTTTTGACTGAGGTCACTAAAACCCATCGATTCAGGTTTCTGAGAACCTAGAAAATATGCAGATGTCAATCTTCTAATGACTGATGTGCTAGAAAACCAAGGCTTGAAGTTTCACAACTATGAACTACCACTCAGAGCATCTCCAAGAGAGGACTGTTCTGTTTAAATGACAGTCAGAACAGCTATCGCAAGGCTAAGTCAATGCCAACAAGTTTGCACTATCCATAAGCGATCTCAGTGTACCAACCTTGAACCAAACAGAATATGCAATGTTAATTATCGCGTAGCGCCTTCTAAGCCTCAAATACTGGTGAAATTACTTACTCTGAGCTTTCAGAACTGCTAAGATGATGGCTATAAACCACAAGACCAGTGTCCTGTCCAAAAAGCAAGCCACAAACTTTCAACTGTGGAAATGCCACCACTCAGAGGGGAGGCTAGAACACCGCCTTCACACCACGCCCTCCTTACAACAGTGAGGTTGCTTTACCTTGTTTAAAATGAAGAATCTAATCAGCACAAAGAGGACTCCAGACATCAAACCAGATAACAGTGGGGAAATAAACCAAGAGGCAACTGTGTTGAAGGAAAGAAAGAATGGCACATGAAATAATCAGTATTCTTGCACGACAGTTAAGTAAGAAGTTATTGAGCAGTACCTTTAAAACAGTTAATGTACAACTGGAATTAATATTCCGTGTGTTTACTTACAACCGGTGCAACTCTATGTCCACAGACATGAAAGTGAAAGCAATGCTAGGCACTATTTGGAAATATCAGCCAAAACATCTCCTGATAATTCGGAAGTTTATCAATCCAATAAATCAGGAAAGTCCCTTGTGGTTTGGTGCAGAGTGGACCACGGAAGCCCTGTAATTTCCTAACCACCATGAACACAAATGTTGCAAGCAAGTGGAAAGCAACTGCATCTAGCGGGACGCTGTGCTGCTTGCAGGGTAAAAGTCTCCACTTCCAAAATGCCACAGAAGCGTCAACTGCAATGAATAACGCGCGCGCATTTTTTACAGGCCAGATTTGCAGGCGTCCAGGACTGATTTAGCTGAAGTAGGTGGCGAAACTCCCACTGATTTCAATAAAACCGGATTAGGGCAGCGCTCTGGAAATCTCATCCAGAGTGATTTATTGTTTGTGGCATGGTTACCAGATTGATTCTGCTGTCATTGCAAACCCTCTTCTACTTCCAACAGAATTTTTAAAAATACGCGTTGCTCCAACTTCTCTAAAGCTCAATTGTATTTCTGTGCTTGCAGCATCAAATCCTTCTAATACAGGGTTTAGGCTGTGACTCGGGTTACAAGGCTTCCAAAACAATAATGAAAACTCCTTCATATCCCTGCTTGGCTGCTCTTGGCAGTGGGAGGCCACAAGTCAAACATGTGCTGTATGCCCAGCTTTCGCCTCCCTGAGGCTGGTGGGTGGAGAAACATGACTGGGGGCATTCACATGGTGGCTAGTGTTTTTGAGAGCAAGAACGAGGTGGTATGAGCTGCCATGAGAAGAATTAGAAGAGGAGGAATGTCACCTTGGAGCATAAGGAACAATTTCTTGGCTTACTGCTGGGAAAGCACAGCTTGTAGCTTACCCCTTCCTCCACTGGAGACACGCCGCAGCCCTTCAACACAGCACCAGTGCATCTTCTCAATGACAGGGCTGGGGTGGAAAATCATTTTAGGAGGGAGGGCTACCAGCACAAAGCAGATTTCTGGGAATGTTTTTTTACTGGCAGTGCACGTTATTTCGCATACCCTCACGCATGAAAGGAAAAGACACTTACCGATCTTGACAAGCTGCATCCACTGAACTCCCTGCGTACCAATTGCCACCAGAGAAAATCCAATCGTAGCACCTACAATGCAATGGGTCCCTGATATCGGGAGTTTCAAGAACGATGCAATCAGCTGCCACACAGCAGAACCTAGATAAAAACCAAAGCAACCATAAACAACAGTAACAGTAATGTCACGCCATAAATTCTTCACCACGTACCCACATTCTTTTACGCGTGCTGCCTACGCTCCACACGCACAGCAGCGGTCTCCTGAAGAGGGTTTTGTTCCTGTTGTGCCTCTGAAAGCAGACGCTAAGTTTAACAACAGCTTTGAATGCTGCATCTTACTTATGACTTTTTATTACTAAAAGCTCTTCATACTGCACAACAGTTCTGCTTTCTTTTTTTTTTTATTTGAAGTCTTTCAGTATTTACAGCCTGTCTGATTAAATACACAAACTACTCCCAGTCTGCATCAGGCTCAGAAAAACCTCATTCTTGATAGCTAGACCTGGAAGCCTCCAAGTAATCGGTGTGAGGAGGCATCCACCATTTCGTAAATGAACTACCCATGCTTCTAAATTCAGATGCTACCAGAGAAAGGCTCAAATTGTAGGGCAGGGAGTTTTTATGCCTCTCCTCAGCGATGCGCGGCCATCCAGAGTCCTCTATAGGGAAAAATGGACGGAGGAGGGAATAAGGACTCTCTCACTGCCTTCATCTGCAGCTCTTTGTGGCACTGGAGAAATTCAGAACTGCAGGAAAGGCTTACCTTAGTCATGGAGTAGCCAAAGACACCCTTGGCATAAGGAAGTAAGATCCTCTAACTAACTAGGGGATGGTGGCTAACGGTCGATAAAGTAAATGTGATGCCTGGTGTCCCAGTAAACATCCCAATGAAGGATGTTTGCCAAGAGTGCCAAAAAAAAAAGACCCCAAGCATCAGAGAGGACGCCTTGCATTTGTTCTCAGTCCCAACTTTCAGTAGTTAGGTCAGACCACAGTTGGCCACCAAGCCCTCGAGCACGCAGCTCCATGCTCTGACTCAGTTTCACACTGCAAGGACCCAGGTTCCCTTGTAGCGACACCAAACCTCAGGACACCAAAATCATTTTGGCAGTGACACAAGATTTCTGTGGATCTCGCCTAATATCAGAGAATCCTTTGAAAGATCTCTTCTTCGTTTTAAGACTTCAAGTCCTTAAGACTAAATCTTCACGTGTTAAGAGGCCCGGATTCAAACTGCCATGAGAGATCCCGTATTTTCTGGCTCGTGCCACCTCTCAACAGATCTGCACAGACAGGGGTGATAAAGCAAGGTTGCTGAACATCGCGCTGTTATTCAAAATCTCAGCCTCCATCCTCAGATCCAACAGGAGAGGATGGTTTTAACGTCTTGAAACAGAGCCACCTGCGAATGGTGACTCGCTGGCATCAGACATGGCTACGTTTGGAAGTCAACCCGTTTGTAAAACTGATCCCTCCTGGGGTACTATTCCAAAACAACTGGTACTCCCATCGCTATTGGAAATTCTAGATCAAGCAAGTGACACCTGCTCTTTAGTTTTTTGGCTTCTCTTCCCCTGTACTAAAATAGAAATGAATACACTGCAACCTTTGACATGAACTCGGAGACCAGCAAGTGGAAGCGAGGTGAAAGAGAAAACAGATGGTAACATCTGTAAAGAGAAATAAACAGAGAAGCCAGCCATATCTATCTGTGGTTATAAAATACTCTGTTTAAAAAATAGGGAAAACACAACCAAGCCACAGCTGCACTGCAAATGCGTAGTGAGGGCTGGGGTTTTTTTCTTTGGGGGGGAATAGAGGGAGTATGCTGTTATTTCTTATTTAATCGACTTCACCTTGAAAACAAACAGGGAACAAGAGGGAAAGTGGTGGAGGACTGATGGATGGTCTGAGATGGACAGTGTGTGGTCTGAAGAAGTTTAAGGAACAGAAGAAAATACAAATCAAGCCAGGGCAGGACTTTTCTCGGGAGTCTGCAATGCCTTAACGACCTACATCAAAGCTTTAACTCCTCCTGAATGCAAAAAGCACGTTCCCAATTTTTTATCTCTGCCAAAGTAACCTAGGAAGCAGGAGGCTCACTAGACCTGTCACTGGGCGTGCTGGTTTAATTGGGAGAGAGCTCATTCTCCTCACAATAGCCAGCACGAGGCTGTGCTTTGGCGTTGTGCTGAGAGGAATACTGATAAAATCAGAGCACTGGGTGAGTGCTTTGCTAAGCCTGGCTGGGGCGTCCCCTCCGTCAGTGCCATCTCCTCGGTCACACCAGCTGCTGAATTCCGCTCCCACCAGGACGACTGGAACAAGGATCGGACAGTTCCTGACAATGATCTGACAATTGGTTAACCCTAGGGAGCTACTACGATGTACCCCCAGGAGCAACAGCCCCTAACTTCCCAACCGCCGAACAAACAACATTTGAATTTGCTACAAATTATTACTAAATGGTACATTTTTAAATTTTATTCCCACTACTCCCTACTTCCTTCTCTCTCGGGAAAAAAGGTCACCCTGAAAAATCACCATCTGCTGTTTGCTGTAAGCATCAAAGGATCTTCCAGCAACATCTGGAAAGAGGATACGGTGACTTTTGGTTCTCTCCCAGACTGTTGACTCATTTAAGCCTCATCGAAATTCAGAAGCTAAGTCCATTCACAAAAACATGATCATGAGGCATGAGAGAACAGGGAGGGGAATGCAGAGCAAAAAAAAAAAACAGAAAGAGGAAAAGAACAACCAGGAGGGCTCAGAGAAAACACAGAAAAATAACATCATACACCCAGAGAAAAGCTGGAGATGGATTTGGGGGGGGTAGGGGGGGGTGGGAATGGAAATCTTACAATCGAGTTTGTAACTTGAGATTAATTCTGAGATTTAAAATGTGGAATTTCTTCTTAATGCCCTCACTGGAGGAAGGGAATGCAACTGGTCATGAAGTTCACACAGGCTTATGTAAATACACATGCAAATAAGTTGTTTTCTTTGAGCTTCTGGCCAGTTGCCTCTGCAGGGGGCATCTGGGACTTAAACCCGTGCCCGGCCACGATCAGGATCCCATAAATAGACACAGAAAAGGACCCTTCCTTCACTGGGGACCGTGAGGATCACGAACGTGAAGGTCAGAAGATGCCGGTCGCTTACATTTCAGTGCAGACGCCTGTGGGAAACGATGGAACTACCACAGGAAGCCGAAGGCTAAACGAGGCATGCGGAGTGGGACGAAGAAGCCACCCTACGGCTTGAGGGGAAGACCAGAAACCTGCAGCTGACCTTGCAAGACGTCAGGAAAGAGGAACCGAGGGGGTGCCCGAAAGCATCTGATGTGGTTTAAGTTGGCAGCCTCACAGAGGGACCGTTTGGGGAAGCAGCTGCAGCCTCAGCGGTGATTTCTCACTAGCCAGGCCCTCTTCCCCTTGGGCAGGGGGAAGTGGTCAACCTTGAGGAGGTTCAGGAGCAGCACAAGCCCAAGGGAAACACCTCCCCGCTCTCAAGCACACAAAGCCACCTCAGACAAGTCCAGAAACCATCACTGAATGTCCATCTTGATCCATTAAAATCGTAAAAAAGCAAAATTTTCCCCATTTTCCCAAAGAAAGGGGAAAAGATCCGCACGTAGTAAACCTCTGCGCGGATTCACCTATCCCACGTGCAGATCCTGCCTGAAAACCGTGGGGAGGATTAGAGGGAGTAGGTGGAAATAATACTTCGTTAGGTTTAAGGAGGTTCAAGGGAGAAAATCTTTGAGTGGAGCATCACTTAAACAGAAGACGCTGGCCCCTTGCCCGGGCTGCCTCTCCCACCGTGAAAGGGTTTCCTTCCTGCTGTCTCCTGCCCTTTCAAAGCAGGTTGGCCATCATCCTTGAGGGAGCTCTCCAACAGCTCCCAAAGCTTCTTTTGCATATAAACAAAGAGTAAATACCGCGGCTTAATGTTACTTACCTCAGAACACGCCATTTGTTCTGAGCGGAGATTAATGCAAGTGCAAACAGAAGCACGTGGAGCAGAGTCCGAGGGACACTGGGCTGCTGCCGGTTTGAGTCAGGACCATTAAGAAGAGCTTAACCGCCTGGCCACCTACCTTTACTGTTCCTTTCCTTCTGCCGTGGGGCAAGGGTGAAGCGTACCATTAACTGCAATCACTCAGCCAGACGATCAGTTTCAGCAAATGTGTTTGGATTTTCTGTAATTTTTTTTAATGATTTAGGTAATTCCTTCCTGTATACATTCCTTGCAAACTGCTGCTTGTGTGGGAACTTCTGTACGGTCACAAATGCTACGCTTACATATTTTCCATCATAAAAATCTCTAAAATCACTTTTTTAGTAGCTTAGGAATACATATATATGATCCACCATGTTAAACATTTTTTTTTTCTCCTATTAGTTAAATAGCTGAACCGTTGAAAAATGTAAATTATGACAAGTATTTAAAAAACACAGGAGGCTAAAAAGAAGGAATACAGGCCCCTGCGTTCCCACAAAACCAGACGCGTAAGTCCAGAAGCTGGGAAGCCTTAATGAACAGTATTCACAATGAACAGGATGACAAGCACAGAGGGAAACGTTACTTGGAACAGGGAAGTTTCACTTACCAACCATCGCACTCACTTCTCCTGCCATCAGCAGCGGGACAGTTTTGTTGTACAGGTTAACATCAATGATACCTTTCCGAATCGTTTCTCCGACTTTTGCTCCCAGTAATACCGAGCCAGTGGTTTCAAAAACCGAAGCCAAAATGCAAGCCTGGCGTAAAGTAACGACACCAGAGCCCACAGCCGTGCCGAAGGAATTGGCAACATCATTTGCACCAACCGAAAAGGCTAAAATAAAAGCAATGATAAAGCCCACAATGACCATCCACAGGTACTCTTCCATTGCCATCTTTCCCCAAACCGTAGCTCAGCTTCCCCTTTGCAAATAGTTAATAGTCAAGGCTGGAGGGCACCGTAACGGATTTGGAAAGCAGATTTCTTGTAAACAATGAGTTCTCTCTGGAAAGTGCTGGGTAGTGTTAGAATGTGAAGAAACTGCTAACTGCTGATTTTCAAACTACTATAAATACTGTTCATTTGGCTGCCTTCGGTCAGCAGTGAAAGACATTCCATATTTTTCTCCCAAACTGGTACAACTGCGATGTTCTGTCCTGCAGCAGAAAAAAAGGAAAAAAAAAAGAAAAAGAAAACAGAATTAAAAAAAAAAAAAAAAAGAAGGGAATACTCAGCGGAACCCGTAACAATGCGCGTTTTCAGAAGTAAACAGATGATTTAAACCCACTAATGGGGTCCTACCTCGGCATGTGACTGTTCTAATCATAAAGCAATTCAGAAAAGGTTAAAATGAGGTCACCTCCAAAGCAATATGTTTCTTGCGATATTACTGACCGAGAAAAATCTTTTGAGCGATTTAAAAGGATTTAGAAAGGTTGGGGGTTTTGTTTGGTTTGAATTTACCTAGCAGCGTGATAAGCCCTCTTTTTAGGAGGATCCTTCTTGGCTTTTTGCACCCAGTGAATACATAGAATATATAGACCATGGGATACAGCCTAATTCCCAGCTGATGTATTCTCCTGGCTCCATCAACCCCAGCAGAGCTCTCACTATTTATCAGGAAGAGTCAGGGATGCACTCCTTTCAAAATGATTTTACCTATCTGTCTGTCTAGGAGATACCGCTGAAAATACTCTGAAGAGTCATTAACGTTCACCTATTGCTGTTATCACATCCCATGCAGTAAGACTGGCTGGAACTCAGGAAAAAAAGGAGAGTTTATGACCTTTGGAAGGAGGGGCAGGCAATTCAGGAGGACATGAATGTCATGAGGTTATGCTGGGAGAAAATTAGAAGGGCCAAGCCCAGCCAGAACTTAACCTGCCCTCTGCCGTAAGAGACAATAAAAAATGTTTCCATAAATACATTTCCATCCTTTATTGGATGACAGAGTGACAAAGGATGAGGAAAAGGCTGAGGTACTTAATGCTGCCTTTGCCTCAGTCTTTAATATGAAGGCCAGTTGTTCTCTGGGTAACCAGCCCCTGAGCTGGAAGACAGGGACAGGGAGCAGAATGAAGAGCCCACAATCAAGGGGAAATGGTTAGTGACCTGTTACACCACTTAGACACACACAAGTCCATGGGGCCAGATGGGATCCACCCAAGGGTACCGAGGGAGTTGGCAGATGTGCTCACCTAGCCACCTTCCATCGTTTTCCAGCCATCCTGGCTGACAGGGGAGGTCCACAGTTGACTAGAAGTTAGCCAGTGTGACACCTGTCTACAAGAAGGGCTCTACAAGGAGGATCCAGAGAACTACAGGCCTGTCAGTCTGACCGGGGTGCCAGGGAAAGTCGTGGAGCAGGTCAGCTTGAGTGCCATCATGCATGTACAGGACAACCAGGCGATC